ATTCTTGCTTGGGGCTAGGCCTATTTTATATGTGGATGGATATTTCTTTAATGGTCCTTATCGGGGTACCTTACTGGCAACTTCAATATACGATGTCGATAATGAGTTGTTTCCAGTAGCTTTTACAATAGTTGATAGTGAAACTCATAATGATTGGACCTGGTTTCTGCAAAATATTAAAGATATCCTTAGTTCACTATAGGTAACTATTGTTTCTGATAGAAATAATGTTATTATTGGTGCTGTTAGAGCTATACGTAGTGACGATAGACATGCATTTTGCTATCAACATGTCAAGGAGAATTTTAGCTTTAAGTTTAACAAAGTTTGTAGGGGAATGGGAAGGGATAAGAAGAGGCACTAAAGTTGCTTGATCACATTGCCTATGCAAGGCATGAGCATGAATTTCATATGGCCATGGGAAATTTGAGGATGTTCTCTCCACAATTAGTAAGATGGGTTGAAAATCAAGGTGATGTTGATTGGCGGGCACTATCATTGTTCCCATTTTGAAGATGGGATAAGATAATAGCTAACTTGGCTGAATCATTCAATGCATGGATTCTTGAGGAGAGGAGGCATAATATATGTGTTTTTATAAATAAGCATAGAGACAAGTTGAGCAAGAAATTTTTTGCAAGTAAGGCAGCCATGGGTAAGTGAAAAAGCATAGTTGGTCTAAATGTTAAAGCAAAGTTGAAGGAAAATATTTTTAGGGTAGAAGTTATCATAGTTCAGCTGCATGGCTCATATATTGCATTAGTTTGGACACCATGTGGAGATGTATGTGTGAATTTGATACTAAGGGAATACACATGCAAAGTTTGGCAAATGTCTGGCATTCTTTGTCTATATACTTGTGGAGCCATTAAAGAAGTACATGGTAATGTGTATAACTATTTTAAGGAATGTTATCTTCTTAGCTCACAGGAAAACATATATAGTGGCACTATGCATTCTGTTGAGACCCATAACATGTCAAAGCCAAATGCATTGACAATGTCTGAGCTCATGAACCAAACCTTTTTGTTGCCTCCTAAAACAACTTGACTAGCTGGCAGACCTCGTCGTGTGAGGATCGAGTTTCAACATCAACAAAAGAAGGTTTATCATTGTTCTCATTGCCATGAAGCAAGTCATATGCGAAAGAGGTATAGAAATCCAAATCCAAGTTGATGTTATTGTAAATAGGTTACCACATGAACTTGAATTTAGGTGACATACACTTATGGGTTGTTTTAGGGGTTCTTTTGGCATATAGCAATCCTTTTTTTTTTGTAAATCCAAGTTGATGTTTCTATAACATGAGATTAGATCAACTTGGATTTGGTTGACATAGATAGGTTTATGTAGATATATATTGGTAGTATTAGGGGATTTTTTTGGTACATAGCAACCCTTCGTTTGTAAATCCAACTTCATGCTTTTGTGTATGTGGACAGCTGATATGTGCAGATGCATTAGATGAATTAATACATATTTCTTACATGTACAGTTCATATTTCTGTGATCACTAAAAGTGTGTTGTCTTAAAATTTCGAATAGAGGTACAAAATTATTCATAAAGAAGTTGCAAAATTTGGTATGTAAGTTGTAAATTACTGGAGCCATGTCAAAAATTAATTTGGTAAGTTTGCAAATTGAAGAATTAAATAGTTCGTCGATCCAAAATTTTGAGTACCAGTTGCAAATTTTTCTTAAGGAAGTTGAAAAATTTAGTGTCTCAGTTGCAAAATACTAGAACGTTGTCCTAAAAGAATAACTCTTGTAAGAATTTAATAGTTTTTCGATCCAAAATTTCATGTACAAGTTGCAAATTATTCCTAAGGAAGTTGTAAAATTTGGTGTCTCAGATGCAAATTACTGGAGCCATGTCCTAAAATATTTAACTCTTATAGGAATTTAATAGTTCTTCGATTCAAAATTTCAAGTATCAGTTGCAAATTATTCCTAAGGAAGTTACACAATTTGGTGTCTTAGTTACACAATACTGGAACATTGCTCTAAAAGATTTAACTCTTCTATGAATTTAATAGTTCTTTGATCCAAAATTTTGAGTTCTAGTTGCAAATTTTTTCTAAGAAAGTTGCAAAATTTGGTGTCTCAGTTGCAAAATATTAGAACGTTGTCCTAAAAGAATAACTCTTGTGAGAATTTAATAGTTCTTTGATTCAAAATTTTGTGTATGAGTTGCAAATTATTCTTAAGGAAATTACAAAATTTAGTATCTTAGTTGTATATTCCTGAAGATATGTCCTAAAAGATTTAACTCTTGTAAGAATTTAATAGTTCTTCGATCCAAAATTTTGAGTACCAGTTGCAAATTATTACTAAGGAAGTTACAAAATACTAGAACGTTGTCCTAAAAGATTTAACTCTTCTATGAATTTAATAGTTCTTTGATCCAAAATTTTGAGTACCACTTGCAAATTTCTCTTAAAAAAGTTGCAAAATTTGGTGTCTTAGTTGTAAAATACTGGAATGTTGTCCTAAAAGAATAACTCTTGTAAGAATTTAATAGTTCTTCGATCCAAAATTTCGTGTATGAGTTGCAAATTATTCCTAAGGAAGTTGCAAATTTTTGGTGTCTCAGCTGCAAATTACTGGAGCCATGTCCTAAAATATTTTACTCTTATAGGAATTTAATAGTTCTTCAATCTAAAATTTTAAGTGCCAGTTACAAATTATTCCTAATGAAGTTACAAAATTTGGTGTCTCAGTTGCAAAATATTGGAATGTTGTCCTAAAAAGATTTAACTTTTCTACAAATTTAATAGTTCTTCAATCCAAAATTTCGAGTGCCAGTTGCAAATTTTTCCTAAAGAAGTTGCAAAATTTAGTGTCTCAATTGTAAAATACTGAAACGTTGTCCTAAAAAATTTAACTCTTTTACAAATTTAAAAGTTCTTCGATCTAAAATTTCGAATACTAGTTGCAAATTCTTGCTAAGAAAGTTGTAAAATTTGGTGTCTCAGTTACAAATAACTGGTGCTTTATCCTAGAACAATAACTTTCTTAAGAATTCAATAGTTACCCCACCTAAAATTTTGACAAACAGTTGCGACATTGGTTATATATAATTGATTTGGTTGCTTGTTCAGCTTGTTTGATAGTCACAAAGAGTGTTTTATATCACTTCACTTGTCCTAAAATAATAATGAAATTAGAAAATTCCATGATTCATTTGTTACATTGAATTGGATCACCATATGATTAAAGTAATATAAGTAGTGGCTCAACTATATCAATTGGCAGGAAATACATGTTATTTTAATTTGTTGAAAACAATAAGTATTAATTAGTATCTGCTATATAAAATCCGAACGGAGGTGTTGGCAATCTTGCTCACACAAAATCATAATTTAGTTACCTAAAATGCATGCATCTGACCAAGTTTTGATCAAATCACATGTTTTGGATACAAAATTAATCAACCATATCTCACAAAGGCTAGCTCAATTTTGCAGTCAAAAATCCTATTTTATAAGCCCCCTGTGATTTGTTGGTAAAAATATTCTAATAAGCCCTAAAATTTGGTTACAGCTTTAAATTTAATTGAGCATATCCTTACTTGTACAAATTACATAGTCCACCTTCAGCTAAGATACTTAAGGAAAAAAATTGAAAAAGAGACAATTTCTGCATAATTAAAATGGTAAATGTTGATGAGGAGCAGGATCTTCAACGAGGCAAATGCATCACATCCATCAAAGATTAATGATCAAAATAGGTCACATATTAAAAATTCATCTAGACTTCTTTCCTACCCTCTTTGGTTAGTTAGCTATTGAGACGGAGGCAAAAACTTCATTTCTCACTTCATTTCTCGTGTGATTTACCAGCCACCATACCACATCTACCCTAAATTGTCTCAGTTATTCCTAAAAAAAAACATAAAGAAAGTTTAAGTTTGACATTGATAATTGGAAGGAAAAAAATTAGAAAGATTATGGATCACATATACATACATTAGAAAAGTCCTCTATGGTCAGTCCTCCTTTTCTTCTTCTACGATCCCATTTTGCATAGTACTTTATCACATATACCCCACAATCATCTCTGCAAATATGAGCAATTAAGGTAAGGCAAAATGTCTACTTGAAATGAATTAGGATAAAGGTAGTTGTTTCCATAAATAGCTACTTACACGTTATTCTGTTTAGGAAGTTATTCAAATATCATCTCCAACTGAAAATCCTCTTCATATTTCTTTGGGTCACATTCTTGTAACAACTTAATTATGCGAGTTCTTGACAAATAGTTCCAATGTTAGATAACCATTCTTATTGAAAAATTTAAGTAACCTAAAGTAGTTATGCAAAAGCACTAATAAAGCATACCATAAATCCAGTCATCATCTTCTTCTCTTTAAATAACTTCCCAGCCAATGAATCAAGAATGAAAAATTTTTCATTCTTTAGATCAGCATAATAACAAAACTAGTAATTGAACACAAGCATGGGCAAGAAGAGGTAATCATAATTTCTAAGGTTATATCCAAGTTTATCAGGCATGAGCATCTTTGTATCCTCAAAAACATACCATCTTAAATTTTTATCCCTTAGGTTGGCCATAAATTCTGAATCAAATATGTACCTTTGCACCTTCCCTTTACAAAGTAGCTCACTAACCATCACTTTACATACAAAGACCACATCCAATACTCAATGTACTATCCAATTAAACAATCAATTAATTAAAACTTTCAGACATATTGTTGTACTTATCCATTTTTCAGGACCAAGACTTTAGCATTTGGCCCTAGTTAGGTAGTAATCATACATCTCAATGACATACCTACTAAAAAAAGTGTTATTATATTAAACATAATGCACCATAATTATCAAAAAGTAATATCATATTACTTACTCTTCACCCTCTGCTTCATTGGTTCGCCTAGTGTAATATTAATATATTTATTGTTCTTTGGTAAGTCTTTCTTGTATTGGTTATTTCAGAAAAGGTAACCAATTTACCTCAACCCTTATCCTTTCAGACCTTCAAATCATTAGGATTTTATCTGTTCTCCTCCTCTTCTTGCCATCTTGCCTTTCATCACTTTTTTCCTTACTATCAGAGCCTTCATCTTCATCTTCTTTAGATCTAGCTCCAGCTGTAGCTTTATGTCTACTGTCATCCTCATCTTCATCCCCATCTCCATTATCATATGTATCAGCTTCATCTTCGCCTTTGTCTCCATCTTCATCATCATCATTGGCTTCATCTTCATCTCCACATTTCGCTTCCTCCACTTCTTCTTCACTTGGTTCATCGACCCTCACAATAGCTTTACTATTAGATATTTGAAGTTGGCCAAGACTTTGTTGCAACTTTAGCACTTTACTTGCAAAGGTATTGGCATATTGTAAAAAGTATTCATATATCTTCCTTACACCCTAACCAAGTTTCAATACCAAGCTTATTAACCAAATAAAAACTAGAACATACACAATAAATTGTAGACATATATATGCAAGTGGAGGTAAAACTTCAGACACTTCATTAGTCTGACCACCATAAAGAATGCCGTGGATGCTTTCTTTTTCCAACTTAACCTGTTTTTGCACCATGTGTTGGTTCCATAAATGCATCACGGGCGTTCCACCATCTACTGATGGTGTTAGGCCCAATGAAAAATAGTGCATGTAAAATATCTACACCAGAAAGATAATTATAATCTAACCAATAACAAATAAATTGGAAAAAAATATAGAAGGATTACAAATAGTCTATACCAGTAAGAAAAATAAGCATCCTTTTGTATTCTTCTTCCTTCGTCCACTCCTTAATGCTGTCTTGTAAGTTAAAATTTCTTTAACAAGCTCCAACAACACAAAAGATGACCATTCATATTCTTGAAAATTTTTCTTGCCAATCAAAATTTTAATACTCCTTATACTAACAGTTGTACTTTTTATGGGATAAAGAAGTGTTCTAAGAGTGAATAACAAAAACACTATTTCAAAATTTTTTCAACCTTGCCGGATATTATCACACTCTTCAGCTCAGTGAAGAGTTTGCCAAGATAATTCTTCTTCAATGCTTTAGATGCTTCGCTATCATCGTCTAAAGAGACAGCTTTCCCACCATAAGGCTCAACTAAGATAGTGTGCATATCCTTTCCATCAATACTTAATTTCTTCCCTGTAATTCCAAGTATTGAGGTTGGTGTGTCAAAAGTAGTAATTACTTGTTCACATAACTCCCTCAGTAGCTTATTAAATTTAAAATCCAAGAGAGATTGGAACCCCATTTGCTTGACGTTGGTACATAACCTTTTATGTCTGAATATGTATTCCACAACTTCCTTCAACTGGCTAGGAGAACAACGTGTATTAAATGGAACCTACAAACTAAGAGGAATAATTTAACACCGTACAATGCATAACAATCATATTCAAAAAAGACTCATTAATTTAAAATAAATACAAGTGAGTGATACTGTTGCCGTGGAACAAGATGCTAATTCCTTGCCTCGTCCATCTAATGAAGCCATGTTTCTATATCTTTCTCGTTCAACATTTGATAATTTTTGCCAACTTTCTTACATTAGCTTCTATAAGACTACTGAGTTTTCCTTCATTTTTTTAGAAACTCTTTCTTGAAGTTGTCATATCCAGACTTCTTTTTTGTTGTAGCTTTCTTGTTGTCCATAATTTCTTAGTGTCTTAGTTGTAAATTACTTTTTTTTGGTCTGCAACAAAAGCTAATGAAAAAGATTCAGCTAAATGTTACACCTAAAAATACACCACATACATATACATTGTTATGGAATGTTGTCTGTACAATGGGATATTTAGGAGGCAAGTTGCACAAATTCATTTATTATTATAACAAAGCCTTTGCTACTAAGGAGTTAAATCTAATGAAAAGAGTTAGTCTCTTATATCCTCACAATATGGTGCATTAATATTTGAATCCTTGTTAAAAGACATGTGCACATTTAATACTCAAATATAGAATCACTTTTAATAAATAAAAAGATACTTGTATATAACAAAAGAAAAAACAAAAGGGACTTGGGTTTTAGTGATAGGGCTCAAGTATTGTATTAATATCTAGTAATGGACTTGAATATTAAAATTACAAAGTGAAAAAGAAAGGAAATACACTTGTAAGCCAACCCCATACTCTACCTGAACTCTGCCTCTGTTTTGTACTTAAGGCGGCTTGTTCAGATGCTACCTGTTATTGCTGGAGGAGTTCAAGTTCCTTCTGCAATGTTCCAATTATTTAGAGATTTTGTCCTAATTTAGCAACCTCTACCTACAATCTCAAACTTTTAGTAAAAATTCCTTCATCTAAATTTGAGTTGCTGATAAAATGCTGAGATCAAACTATATTGAAAACAAAATTATCTTCCTAGGACTTCAATAAAAGGCGAGATCTTAGGGGCATCATGTATATGCCCAAACCAATCTCTAAGCTGAATAGTGTCCATGTACAATAAGCACTTGAGACCCATTTTTGTAAAGAACATAAAATATTGAAATTCAAATTCTTAATCACACGACAAAAGGGAGAAAGGGTTCTATCATAACCCTAGCTCTACATGCATCATATCAATATCCAACTATTCAATCAATGTTAATATTCAAAAATGTTTTCACAAGAAAAGGAGTAGACAATGTAAGGGGTGAAAAGCTGGACTCGGATAAGAAATTAAAAATGATTTTAAAAAACTACTAAATACATGTTTGGATAACAAAGATGATCAATTTTAAAGGTCAAAACCATGAATTTGTGTGAATATATCCAAACACTCCTATTATATGCCAAAATTAACTATGAACTCAAAACCATGGTTTTCTTCAAAATATCCAAATACCTATTATCCATGTCAAAATGAATTTTAAACACTCCTATGTGATGCTTGGATATTTTTAAGAAAAAATCATATTAATCAATCTTTTTTATTTTGGAAAAAAATCAATTTTCTCCATAATCATTTTTTTCTGTCATAATCAAACATATGCTAAAGCAATTCCAAGTTCTATTTCTTCTTATTTCATTTTTCGTTCTTAAAAATTATATGCAGTGTCAAAACCTAGGCATAAAAACCACAAAAAAAGATAGATGGAAGCAGTTATGTATACCTCAAGTTTGAAACACCTTGACTGCTCAACAGCAAGCTGACTACGCACTGATTGGAGCTCCTAAATTATCAGTGCAAAGTATGAGGACTTTTGATTGAGTTAAAGAACAAACAACATAATCCAGATCTCAACCAGTACACGAAACTCTTTTGATTTATAACAAGTACTACTAATACATATATGCAGTATCTATGCAGTATATCCCCTCCAAAACCCTTAGAAAAATCAGTCTATAACTTTATATAGAAGTATATGACTTGTTATATTTCTCAGTAATAAATCAAACAAGAAAACTGGAATGGTATGGTAAATTTCTTTAACTTTACTAGCGTCACTTACGCAATCTGCTCAATATATACTCAAACCATGGTATTTTACTTCAACAGATTCCAACATGAAAAGGGATTTCAACTTTGCAAGCCAAATCCTTGTAAAGTTCAGAGTTACAAGCCTCAGCTTGTGCTAATTCTTGCTTTAGCTGAATAGTTTTATTTTCTCCTTATTGAGTGATGATTCCAATTCTTCTTTCTCAACCTTCAGGTGGTATTTAGTGAGGAAAATGCTAGGAATCCTCTGAAATGCACATAGAGAGACAATCAAATATCTGGATATTTGATTGTCATTTTCCTAAAAATTAAGTATTTAGTAAATCGAAGACAAGAACACAAAAAGTAAATGACAAGAGAAAGATAATGAACTTGAGCTCTACTTAGGCAAGGAAGGTAGCGTAGGGAAGAGATGAATAGCTTTCCTCTACTTGGTTGCAAGTGATTACTTAGGGCAGATAAGAGATGACAGGTAGGACTGTAATAGAGACGATGGACAAACAACGTTACTCACTAATGGGGTAGGGAAGAGATGATAGACGAATGCCTTTACTCGCTTGTAATGGGCTAGGGAAGATAAGACAGATGAAAACCTTTACTCAGGGCAGGGAAGAGATGATGGGCAGATGCCTTTACTTGCTTGCAATGGGGTAGGGAAGAGATGACTGTAATAGCTAGGGTAGAGGGAAGAATGAGCAACTTCAAAATTTCACCAGCCAAATAAGGGTGTTTAAGTCATTTCTTATTATATTAAAATATCACTTAAGGACCTGGAGACTTAACTGGTATTTCAGAATGTCTTAGGACTTAAGTGGTATAAAATTGATCCTTTGGGACTTGATTGTCATTTTTCCTATTAAAAATGTGTGACCATTATTTAATAAAGTCTAAATAAAGTGATATATTTAGATTTAAGTTTAAAGATTTAGGGGTATAATTGTCATGTGATAAATGTGTAGACTAAGGTGATATTTACGATTTGTTTAGGGGCCAAATTACAAATATCACAAACTTATTAACTCTATAAATAGTGATTGTGGTTACTAGTTTGGCCGATTAATAAGAACATTCTTTAGTCAGTCATGGGTATTTTAGTCAGCGGTTACGAAGGTAGTTAACTATCGCCAATGATGGTTACCAATAGTAACTTTCGATAACTGCCGGCAATTGCTCCGGTCGACCACCCTTAAGGCTTGGTTCCCATGGAGGAAGCATATTGGGGTGGGGCATTTTTAAAAAGAAAATAATAATATTTTTTTCATTTTTACTGCTATGTGGGGATCTTAATTGATTGAAGAAACCACCAACTGATAATTTTTTACTCAAACTACTGTGTTAATGGTTATGGGTATGAGTTTTTTTCCCCAAATCAGTGTATTCTTTTTCATTCTCTTTGAAAAATACAAGTCTGGGTGTACCTTTTCCAGAACTAAAATGATGAAGATGATTTAGTTATGATAATGATATATTAAAATATTAAAGGCCCACAATAGTTTAATGTGCAGACAGATTAAGGGGAGGGAAATTCAGTTTGACCTTTCCAGTATATTATAATATTATTATATAGATTTATTTATTGTGAGATTCGCATATTAAATAAATTAATAAATAGTTTTTTGATTGAAAATCATGATAAAATTGCTTGACAATTATGCATATGAGTTGATTTGCAAGTTTGCTTTTCAATCAAACTTTCAGTCAAATTAATAAGGAATTTTTTTAAATTTTGGTTTACATTTGTGATTTAAATAGATATCTGGAGGTCCTTAACCAAAATATTTATGTTGGATATCATTATGATTATTATATTGGAACTTTTATATTTATAATGTTAATTTAAGATCCAACAATTAATTATGTAAGGCATTTAATTTAATTTAATTTCTTAAAGTTTATCTATTATTTTTATGATTATATTGACACATTAATGTCACCAAAGTGACCTCTCTTGTGAATTTTTTTTAATAATAGATTATTGTTGTGTGTGCATAATATCTTGTGAGTATGCATGCACTTATACAATGATAAATGTGTGACAATTATAAAGTCTTACATGTGAATAATATTTTAATCCAAAGATTATTTATAATTTGGCTATAATTATTCTCAATATTTGATTATTGCAACAAGATTACTACTTACAATTAATATTATTGTCCAAAGACTTAATATTAATGCTGTATTATCTTGTCATGGGTGTTAATTATTTGAATTTATTTTCTATTAGTTTAATATTTTTTTGTCATTAGTATGATTTACTATATTGTATTCTTTTCTTTTAACTACTGTTTCATCAATATCTGCTAATTTGAATTTTGTTCTTGTATTGAGTAGAACAAATTTTAAGGAATGGAAAGACAACATACAAATTGTGTTGGGATGCATGGATCTAGACTTGCATTAAGAGTTGAGGAACCCCATCTTATAGACAAAAGTTCCTCTAGTGAAAGGAGGTACTTTGAGAAGTGGGATTGCTCAAATTGCATGGGTTTGATGATCATTAAGCACACCATTTCAGAGCCTTGTAGAGCTGCGGTGTCCGAAGGGATCACCAATGCTAAAGATTTCCTTGCTAAAATTTAGAAATGCTTTGCAAAAAGCAATAAGGTAGAAACAAAAATGCTTTTGCAACACTTAATTTAAGACAAAGGAAACATTAGAGAATATATTATGAAATGTCTCATATAGCTATTAAGCTTAAGGAACTCAAGCTTACACTATCTGAAGACCTATTGGTGCATCTAGTTTTAATCTCTCTTCTTATGCATTATAGTCATTTCAAAGTTAGTTATAAATGTTAGAACGAAAAATGGACTCTAAATGAGCTCATTTCCTACCTTGTTCAAGAGGAGGAGAGACTAAAACATAATAGCAATGAAAATTCTAATTTTGCATCCACCTCTAAGGGAAAGGCAAAAGGAGAAAGAGATCTGAGGTTGCCAAGGGTCCAAATAAGAAGAAACCAACTCAAGAAAAGAATAAGTATTTCTTCTGTAAGAAAATTAGACATCAGAAGAAAGATTGTACCAAGTATCACACTTGGCATGCAAAGAAAGGTACATCTCTTACTTTGG